ATACCAACTCCAAAGAACAGTGGAGCGGTGACGATAGCGCCTGTGGGTCCCGTGCAGGGCACCAACATAGGAAGCATGGCCCCTCTGAACACCAGCTCCTCTGTCACTGGTGCCACCACCTGGTTTCTGAGCCACACTGCGTCCCCCGCACACCGCCTCCATGACTGAACATCTGAGGGAAGTGCATGAAAGCACACATGTGCAGCTCTCTGATTCCAGTTAACCCAACATAACATTCAGTTATTATAGAGACAAACGTACCCAGTGCACACTGCATTTCCCCGGTGAAGCCTTTGGGGTTGTCTATAGCAGAGTGAACCAGTGGGCCGAGATAAAAAACCTGACGTGGGAGAGTAAAACCAGTTGTTTATAAAATCTAGAGGATGTAAATAAAAAAAAAAGATTAAACTGGAAACTACAGGGTACATTTGTCAGTGAGTGGTTTAAACTCGCCCATGGGGATATTACTGCAGAACGCAGACATTTAATGGAAGTTGCAAAGCTAAGCTGAGGCCACGCTTAGCAGGAATGGAAATAAATCTCTGAAATGTCAAGCATGCCTCAGCTAAGCATAAATATATTGCTGTATGAGAGAAACGGGATCTACAGATTACTGTTTGAAGCTACTGAAAAACTCATTGACTATGGTTTTCTTCATTTCTGACAAATCTTATGTTAATGATGTAAATGTAAATAAATCCTGGGTTTTCATCTGTAAGTATTTAATGTGTGCTACATATAAAACTTCAGAGATATTTGTGCCCTCAGTTAAGCAATTTGAAATCAGTACTATTCTTTTCCATCTCTAATGAAGCAAAATGTTACAAATGTATGCTAAACAAAATTTATATTAATATTTTGAATGCAGAATCAAGTTAATCAGATATGGGATCCCCTGACTTACCATAGTAAGTAATAAAGGTAATATGGATGCAGCAACCAAACCATCCATGCGAAGTCCCATCAACTCCCACACAGATACGTCCGCCTGAAGGGCAAAATGTGTTTTAGAAACCGTGAGAATGACATTTAAACGAGTCACTGAAGTCCTGTGTTTAAGACATTAGCTACTAAAGCCTGCTGTGAGATCCATAATTTCCTTCGGGATTAATAAAGTATTCTGATTCTGAAAATACACTATATTGACTGGGAATGTCAGCAACTCAGCCATCAAGTGGTAGGTCATTTAAAATCATTGAGTGGGATCAGTGGATGCTGAGGCGCACAGTGTACAGAGGTCACCAACTTTGTGCAGAGTCAACTACTACAGACCTCCGAACTTCATGTGGTCTTCAGATTAGCTCAAGAACAGTGTGCAGAGAATTTCATTGAATGGGTTTCCATGGCCAAGCAGCTGCATCCAAGCCTCACATCACCAAGAATAATGCAAAGTGTCATATACAGTGGTGTTAAGCACTCCGCCACTGGACTCTAGAGCAATAGAGACGTGCTCTGTGGAGTGATGGACAATCCAATGGACGAGTCTGGGTTTGGCGGTTGTCTGACGGCATTGCGCCAAGTGTAAAGTTTGGTGAAGGGGGAATTATAGTCTGGGGTTGTTTTTCAGTTGGGCTGAGCCCCTTAGTTCCAGTGGAAGGAACTCTTAAGGCTTCAGCATATCAAGACATTTTCATGCTCCCAACTTTATAGGAAGAGTTTGGGGACGAGGGTGACTCCTTCCTGCTCCAACAGGACTGCGCACCAGTGCACAAAGCAAGGTCCATAATGACATGGATGAGCAAGCTTGGTGTGGAAAAACTTAACTGGCTTACACAGAGTCCTGACCTCAAACTGATGGAACACCTATGGGATGGAAGAATGGTCAAAAATTCCCATAAACACTTCTTCTGTGGAAAGCCTTCCCAGAAAAGTTGAAGCTGTTATAGCTACATCATAGCAACATCCCATTAAACCTTAGGGATATTTCAAGTTCAAGTTGAGTTTGAAGAAAAACAAGCAAATACTTTTGGAAATATTGTTCATAACATTTCATTTTAGATGAGCAGTAATCACAGATTTGATTTGATTGGTATAGATTACTGATGGAAAAGATCCTTTACAAAGGTAGCAATTGGGACAAATAAACAAACAGATACAGAATTTAATGATAGGTGGAGTTTAAATTGTCACAGAGTTGAGTTAAACTCATATTGCTGAAACTTGTCGGGTCACAAGGTAAATCCTCCAGGGGAAATGTTACTATCTACAGTATACTCACCTTGACATCAGCCCAGTGTATCCATGTCTTCACAACTGCAGGCGACACTACAGAGACCAGCAGCACACTAGCACAGCGACGCTTTATCACACTGGGATGATCCCTGCACGCACAGTTTAAGTTTAGTTGTCTGGCCTAACAGCACTTCTCTCATGCCTGTTGGTGAGCTGTATACCTTGGTGAGCTGCTTCTCCAGACGTACAAACTGCCAACGTAGAGACCAGCCAAGAATAGGCAGCTCAGCAAACCCAGAAAACACCTCGGGTGGGTGTTCTCTACCTGCATGACAAACGTGAGGGTTTGCAATCACAACTTCAGCTGGTTCTCCAGCTAAGCGGTGGCTAACAAAGGAGTGCAGGTTCACCCCGCTTTGGATCGGCTCGATCCTGTCAGTCATCAGATTAGTGAGTCCTGGTGATTAGCTGATTAGCTCTAATGCTCTACGAAGTCCAGTAACTGCATGCAAAAAACAAGCTCATTCAGGTAAACGGTACGAGTGTAAACAAGACCACATGCAAACAAACATAATACATAACAGTAAATATTCAGTTTTGGTTATGACTCAATATTTTTATACTAGGGTCAGAGAAAAAAAAAAAACAGGTGAAGTTTAGCCTCTACGTGCCAATAGAAGTAGTTGTGTAATTGGAAAACAAACATGTAGCCATCATAGAACACGAAAAAGCTAGTTCCCTGACCGGGAATCGAACCCGGGCCGCGGCGGTGAGAGCGCCGAATCCTAACCACTAGACCACCAGGGACATGCTAGTGGTCGTTATTCTGCACCTTACATCCAATCGCATACAAAAAAACTATTTTCATGCCATCATTAAGATCTTTTCGGGCTGCATCAGTTCACATTTGCTCTTTGCTGTGTTCGTGCAGTAGTACTAAACAGTGGCTCTGACTTATAATTTCTTTTATTAAACTGATCCATTTGATTTTTGTTAGCTGATTTATCAGTATCAGTCTACACGTTAAATAGATTATACAATGCCAAAAATATATAGTTAAGTGTATATATTTTTATGTATATATTCACATTTTAATTCATCAATATCTTTGGTTATATTGATAGTCTGCAGTCAGCAGGATTTACGAAGGTCTTATAAATAAAATAAAGAAATTACATGTTTTGTAAGAATCTTTATGACTCTGCCTTATTTTATGTACTTCTGTGTTCTACATTATAATCAATCCAATCGTTTTTGGCACTTAAAATATATTTATACAACTGTTATGTTATGGTTGTTGCTTCCCTCTTTGCCAGATCTCTTCTGAGAAAGACATTTTTTATGTTAATGAGAGTATCGTATTCACAAAAAAAGGATAAATAATTGCTAGAAACTGATTGCAGCTTCTACTCTGTGACAGAAATGATCTTTCTGGCTTAAAGTGGCTCGATCCCATTCACAAGAGATATATTTGACATATGTTTTACATATTAAAGGCCAACAAGTCATTTACAACCGTTTAAATACCGACAATCATAAATACTGGAAATCACTTATTGGCAGACGGTCAAAGCTGGCCCACTGGACAACTTTGGAAACTTTAAAGAAGAGCATAAATTTTGGCCTTTTAATATCTGAGAGATCACATGTGTAGTTAAGCTTCTCTACACTGGTCCGACCAAGATCCTAGTGGGCTGTATGTGGCCCATGAGTTTGACGTCTTTGGCTTAACAATTTAAGTAATTTCCTCACAGCTGGATTGCCAGTTGGAGATGCATTACTAAGCCTCATTTGAGACACACCAAGCAAGGTAAAAACAGATATTTACCCTGAAGTGTTGTTAAATTTAGATTTCAGCTGTATTGATCACTATCCAGCAATGTCTGTTTTGTGATCGCTGCAGGATCACATTAGGGGATATTTTTGTAGCGTCCAATGCCTTTATGCTATAATGTGCACAGGGTGATTTTTAGCATGTTATGATTATACATTAGGATCATATTACAGTTACTGCCCTGGGTTACATAATCTATGAAGTGCGATGAAGACTAAGTGATGAAAACAGTCATGACAGATGAGCAACCAGCCGATATGTTTTTATTTTCATCATCACAAACATCCTCGATTCATTATACGCAGCTACAGTATGAATACATAGTGGCGCTGTGGAGCACAGTGCCACTTTATTAGCACACCTCCATAAGCATGCATGCAGTAGTCGACACAGAAATGGAAAGCACTTTGATTTCTGTGAATATTGCAGACGTGAGCAATCACATCCACAAAGACTGCAAGTTACCAAGGTGTAACTTTAGGCTGGAAACATCTTTGAGCTCCATGAGGCTGCAGGGGGTCATCCTGAATCTGAAAACACATATCCTCCGCTAACAACATGAGGCATTCGAGTCCAGCTCATGACTTACCACATACTATTTTGATATCCAAAATGCTCGGGCGTGTTTATGGACTTTTTCCTCGGGGAAGTGACAAGTAGGGTGACATTACTAGAAACCTGCAGATTACAAACAACTGTAAACTAAACTTCCCCTCAAAGCTGCAAATATTTTTGGCCTCGTTTTTCACAATGGAGGATAAGCCAGTGTTTGAATACTGAAAGTCACAGATTAGAAACAGAAACACACAAAAAGCAAATGTGCAATAGATGTAAAACAGTCAGATACATAATTTAAATAAATAAAAATAGATGAAAAGTATCAATCAATACTTATATATTAAGACACACTTAAAATAATGAACATTTGAATTTCTTTTTTTTTATCAGAGAAAATGACATATTTTTTGCAGTGTCAAACTCAGAGCAGTCCTCAAGGCACTTTAAATACAAGAAAATACAGAGCCCCAGCATCCTTAAAAAAAACAACAACTTTCTATTATTTAAAAAAAGTACTCTTTTGGGACTTTGTAGTATCCGTACTAAAAGCTGTTTGTGCTTGTCCTCACTCGTCTCACTGTAACACACATTTTTCTTTGTTGCTGTATTTTCTCCTCCTCATTTCGAGACCACGCTCCAGACGCTCATCCTCCTCCATGGCCCTGCAAACACAAAAACACGGTACGGTGCTGAGCTCATGGATATCTGCACCCCTCTATCATAGATAGGCATAAAGATCCAAATAACAAATTAATCTCTTTTGTTTTTTGGATGTATAATCTTCCTGTAACCCACTTTGTCTCTTTCACATAACCCTACGTATACTGACCGTCTCTCCTTGGTGTCGATATCCCTGATGATCTCGTCCCTTTGGTTGACCAAAGACACCAGCTCCTGGAGGAGCAGCTGCTCCCTCTGCTGCTGAGCGGGTGACTTCTGCCAGTCTGCACAGCAAACAGCAGAACTCAAAAAGATCAAATTCATTGTGTTTTAATTTTTTTTACCATTTACATTTGTATTATTATCTGTAAATCATTTTGACTGATATTGTACAGATTACTTGTTTCCACTACTTTAATGACCTTCAATAGCCATGATTACGCGCAGTTCTCTGGTCAGAAGGTCAAATCTCCTCTCCAGATCCTGCTCCTCTTGTCTGTAGATGCAGTTAAGAACGAGTCGGTTTAAAACAAATGTCAAATATACGTATATGAGTATGTGTATACTGATATGTGGGAGGTCTTACAACAGTTCCAGGTTGTCTTGTCTGCGGATCAGAGCGTTCTTCTTGTTTACCAGAGTGAACCACTCCTGGATCAGTCTCTCCTCTTCATCACGGTCACTTCCTGCAACAGCAGATAAAAGACATGAAAGCCTGTAAATATTTGAATACAGATAAAGATAAAGATCATTAAACATAAAGATCCACATGCAAGATACTATTTAACAACAACAAAAAAGTGTAAACTAGACTGAGCTGGATCTGGAATTTACTTCATTATAATCACAAGTAGAAGACAGGTTAGCATCATGGCTGAGGAGGGTATTCATCTGCATGCAGGTCAGGAGATTTAAGGTTCGGTTCAATTTAGTTAATCTTTTTATGCATTTACATGTATATTTTTTGGTGTCTTATAGTGCCACCTTCCCCTCTTACAAGTACTTGGTGATGTTGGAGAGGAAGAACTCCCTTTCGACGGGAAGAGACCTCTAACACAGGCCTGCTCCTGACCTCCTTCAGTAAAATATATAAATCCTGTCCTTCTACTACTTCCTGTAAAATACTGCATTAATTAAGATTCATCTTCTTACTTTCAAGTCTCTCCATAACCCTGCACCTCTGTATCTCACCGATCTTCTGCACATTGTCACAACTTGCTCTACTCCACTCTGGGATCCTCCACCTCCACCATCCTCTGTTAGACCCCAGTTAGAGCTTTCAGACAATTGTCAGCTCGTCTTTGAAACTCGCTCCCACACCACATTTGCAAAATTGATTTTCTCCCAATCTTTAAAGCCAATCTTCAAACACATTTTTAATATTTTTATATTTTTTTATTCTCTGATGTGTTTTTAATCGCCATATACTCAATTTTGTTATTTCATTGCTTGTAAGATGTCTTTGAGTGCCCTGAAAGGTGCCTATTAATACAATATATTATTATTATTATTTTATTATTATTATTAACAGAACAATGTTCAGGGAGGGGAAGCCACCTGCTATGACCAGGGGATAGGGAAGAGAAAACAGGAGAAATCCAGTGATGACACATAACTGCAACCACTTAATCAATGCAAAAGTCCATTGGATTAAATCTGCTTAGTGAATTCTGCACCGTTCACTTCTTGCTTATCAGAGGTTTAATTAAGTGACTCACCTGTTTCCATGAGACTTCGCAGTCGTCTCTCCACCACTGCAGCTCTGCTGTCGATGTGCTTCTGTTCTGTCTCCAATGCTGCCAGCTCACTCAACACATACTGGCTGGTGTCCTGCAGAGACTGACCACAAGCCACCATCACACACGTACAAAGACACGCAGACGAATAGAGGCAAACACACATGAACATACAGAATGACGACAGAAAGCCACACATAGAGGAAGAGAAGAGATCAACAGAAAGAGGGGATCGGACAGCAGAAAGGGGAGGGGGACATACGAAGAGAAGCAGAAGAAGAGGGTCAAAAAGATTAGAGAGGTCAAAGGATGGAGAATATAAGATGTGAATGATGAACTGGACAACTGTTATTCAGTACTTTTTGGAGCCATCAATTAATGATGATGGGAGAATCAAAATGATATAGAAATGAAATAAAGAACAGAAAAGGGGAACACATGACTGACCATTGTTTCCTCGTCTTGTTTTGGAGGCTGGGGCTCATCTGCACACTGAAAATCTGCAAAAATTGAAATACACAAATCAGAGTAGGGAAAAAAGTGAGGGAAAGAGTGCTAAAACAAATGCTTCAAATGTTAGAAAAGGCTTACTCTGCAGGCTCATACCTGTATTACTCGTGTTTTCTGTTGCAGAGTTAGACATTGTATTTTCATCCTGGAGAAGAAATATAAAACTTTCATATAGCTACAGTAAAGCAAATGTATAAAGTTAAACAGAGGTGAAAATGCAAAGTAAAAATTGAGTGTGTTTCATGTATTTTTTTGCCTGAAAAGTTTGTTTGCTGATGTCAATTATAAAGGAAGAAAGACAAAGTGTTACCTGAGCCGGCCCAGGCTTGACTACCTTTGTAAGAGACCGTGGGGGTGGGACTGGAGTTATGGACTCCTCCACTAAAAGCAGAACAGACAAATGATTACATGTTACATTTCTTTAATTGTTTTAAGGCCTCAGAAAACTTGGTACAGAGTATTTATCCATATGTACTTAATCCAGTAAAATGAAAAGCCAAAGAAAGAACTATCAAAGCGAAAGTAAAACATGTATCTGAATCTGCTCCATTGACACTTTGTGGATGTATGTGATTACCAGGAGCCACAGCAGAAAATAATGCCCTAATGGTCATGACATATTAAATATTACATTGTGATAATAGCATAATAGCATCATAACAGATGTACATGACATCACTTACTGGATGTCCTAACTGGATGTCGACCAGTCCAAACCATTGATAACAGCACAGGAGGGAAAAAGGCTGAGACGGTTTTCTCACATATGAAATCATCAGAACTTTTCCAACTTTGATAGAACACGCAGAGTTCATGCCAGACCTCATCGCTCATGAATCTATTTGAGATAACATGTCTCCGGGGACATTCAGGAGTTTTAAATAAGAATAATAAATTTCACAGCTGTTCTACTGGGACTAATATTTATAGCCAAAATGAATATTAAACACGTTTGCACTAAAAAGGCACATCTGGTATCTCTGGGAACCAACAAAAATCTTAAGCGAAGCATTGTGAACTTGATTTATTGATCTGTTTTCTGTGCCTCTTGTCGCCTTAGCTCTAAATTTGCTACTTCACATTCCTAAGTTACCCTGGGAAACACTAGTGTTTCCACCTTTACTCTTTTCCTTTCTGCTCTCCTCGCTGTTTTTGCTTTTTTAACCCAGGTTTATGGTGTGAAAGGGCTTGCATAATAAAACGTTTTTAACTATGCCTGCACAGTTTGTTATGGTAAGACAACAGAAACTGTAAAAGTTCCAAAAAGCCAAAGTGGGCAAAATTAACCTTATTTGGTGAATATATAATAAAATAATCATACAGAGGGAATGATACTAATACCTTTAAGCTGTCGTTTAGCTCTTGGCGGCGGGACCACCAGCGTGCTGCTTCCTCCCTCTTCTAGACTCACTCCTTCATTTAGTCTGGCCATGCAGAAAGCAGCAGCGTCCACATTCGTGGGAGTCGGGCCGGTGAGAGTGACGCCGTAACTGGACTTACTGCTGTTGTGCTCTATCTGCAGCACGCTCAGCTCCTGGTTAGTGAAGTGTGAGCGGATCTGGCTGAGGTAGGTCATGACTATGAGCCTGTCAGGCACAGACAGAAGGACCATGTCTGACGGCTCCAGCAGGCGAGAGATTCCCAGCGCCTCGAAGCCATCAAACGCCTGATGTTGTTAGGAAACACAGGATTACAAAAGGAGATGGCAACAATTGCCCTAGCAACACTCTTTTAATGGAACAGCAGAATATGTGCTCTGGAGCAAAGCCTGGAAAATTATCATTCAGGACCACTTTAAAAAATACGAGAACGTCTGGCTGCTTGTAAGCAAAATATAAAGAAATAAGGGGTGGGCTAAGAATTAAACTTATTGCTCTGGGTGTTAATTGTCAAACATCTCTGACTATATTGCATGAAAAATATTGATCTAAAAGTTACCAGAACTATGTCATCATCCTTTCATGTGGCTGGAAAAACAAACTGATGGCACAGTGCACTAAACAGCCAAGAGCTAAAAACATTAAATCATGCTCACCTTTTTATTGTTGAGTTTGATATCATGAGGGTCCAACTGGTCAAAATCTCTAATGGCACAAAAGCAGGAACAGAAAAGTAGTTTACAACATTAAGATTAACAGTTTAGTTAATATTTATAATTTCCAAAGAGAATCTACTCAAAACTAGTAACGTTTGAGTAAAATGTCGTACATTTTGTCTGGATGGAAGTGGTGTAGGATGGCACAGAAGGCCAGCCCATTTCTCCAGGAAGTGCTGAAGTTTGTGACCTTTACCCCCTGGTACCCACTAGTGATGCTCTGACACCACTCGAGCAGCGATTGGCTGGAGTTCACCAGATCCTGGAGAAAGAGGGAAAGAAATGTTGTTTCTGTGCATCTACGCAAATGAAAAGCCAAATACTTATGATGAGTAAAGTAAAGTATAAAGATGAGTATTCATTAAATTTACCTCAGCTGTGTCGTCCTTCCCATCAGCCTCCTCCCGGACCACTGTAACAGGATCCGGGGTCCTGGGGTCAGAGGTCTCTTCTTCTGGTAAAGTAGGAAGACGAGATGATGTGATCTCACAGTGATGGACTGTGCTGGGCGAGTCTTCTAGCTGGAATGGTGGTTTCTTAACTACGTCATCAGGGAGGTCAGCCAGCTGGTGTTTTGGCCTACGAAAAAAAAGATATATGATGTGAAAAAAAGGTTAACTTAGAAGAAATGAAGGAGGTTATCGATGCCGTTTCATCATTGCCATGTGCAATTTTTCAGATTTGACATGCAAGCTTGCCATGATGATGATGATGAACTGAACAGACTCATGATGTTAAAAGAGCGTGATGGAAAACATACAGCAGTCATGTGATTTGCATCAGGATTTGCAGCATGGTTGCCTCAATGCAGGCCTACGCTTTTGGCATTTTATGGGCATACACTCATTTTTAAGCATCTCAGTTTGCCTTTTTGGGTCACATCACCCATGTGTGACATAAGCAAAAGCCATAAGCCAGCTGGTTGTCATCAGGGCCCGATTTGGACAGATCTTGCAAGCCTCTTTCCTCACTCTCACTCAGCCAAGCATACATCACACACCTGACACATTTTTTTAGTTTAAATAATCGTGCTGATTATGATGGCCTTGAACACACTCTCTCTTTTTGTTGGATGTTTTAGCGATTTGTAACAAAATGGGGTCTCATCTGGGATCTGCACCTAGGGCCTCTTTTCAGCATTTCGGTGTAAAATACTCTTTGAACATAAAGTTGAAAAAAGTGACCTCTAGAACAGCCACATGCACTCATGTGTACAGATACACAGACTACAGCAGAGCTTGTTTTTTGGGGTTCAGCCAAGTTCATCCAAGAAAAGACAACATTAGATCTGAGCACACAAAGCTGTACTAAAACATTGTCCTTTATAAGACAAGTCTCAAACGAGTTGGTCTAATAAAACAGGACAAGATAACAGCCTATCCTGACTTACGCATTTTCCTCTGCCTGTGGCTCTTCTGTTTCGGTTAGTGATATTTCCTGCAGGGCATCAAAGCTGGGAAAAACTAAGTGTTGATTGACAACAGTGAGATCTGTGGCGATGTCCAGTTGTTTTTTTGGCAGCTCAGTGTCACAGTCAATATCCCCCGGTGCTGGGATGAGTCGTTTCATATTGTGAATGCTGGACACTGGGGATGAGTCACCTGACATCAGGCGAATTTTAGCCAATAGGAACTTTTCCTCTTCTTGGAGTTGTTGGTCTTTGGAGTGACTCATGCAAAGGTTGTTCATTTGCGCACTGTCACTCTTTTGGCTGTCACTGTCACTCTTGTTTAAACTGAAAGTCTTGGAGTTGTTCACACCTTCCTTAACCTTCATTTCAAGACTTGTGTGTGATTGTGTGACTGGATTTATTTCACTATCTACTTTAGTGATGCTCATGTCTGTGTATGTCCTAGTATGTTTTGTATCAGAATGTATGTTGGAAGTGCTTGGAGGGAGAGGCCAAGGAACCACTGACGACTGAACAAGTTCTCCCTCCTCATCAGCTGCTACCTCAAGGCTATGGCTAATATTTGTAGCAACAGCATTTCTCTGTCCTTTTAGCAGCTGTTTCTGAGATTCATTAAGTTGGGGAACGGGGGTATTCCTCACTGTCTGATTGACTGATATCCCCTGCTGAGACACAGACGGCGGGTTAGGATGTGGACTGTCTGTTAGACTGGTTAATGACTCAAGAACTTCTGGTTTATTTGGCTGACTGGGAGCAGGGTTCTGGTAAAGTGTTTGTTGGCTGAAAACAATTGAAGAGGACTTCTGGTTTACAGCTGGGGAAGGGTGGCCTGGTCTGAAGACAGAAAATCAAATTTCAGATCTCACGTGTTTTTCACAAAACTCAAGAACCACAAACCTAGCCAGCATCCTTTTCATGCCCCATTCCCTTTCTTTGCAAACACACCTTCATTCATCTCAAGCAACCACATATTTACCCTTTCAAGATTACAAACGTCTAAAGACATTCAAGGACAAACATTTTGATGAACTTGCATGATGAGCATGGTGGATGTTAAAGCTCACTGTGCTTTTCCCACACTCAGCTATTTTTATGTCATTCCTTGTACATCTTGTTAGGAAAAGATTTTCACAGAAAGTCCCAGCGCATTAGTAGAACCGAGGCCTAGCAATGAGATTATACTAGTTTTGACTTTCTCTAGCCTTGAATGCATCACAGCATCTGAACATCAAAACAATCAATGCATCCACGCCACTTGACATTCTGTGAAGCTGCACTGACTACAGAACTATGTAAGTAGACGTGTCATATTCATGTAGACCAGGGGTGTCAAACTCAAATACACAGTGGGCCAAAATTCAAAACTGGAACAAGGTCGCGGGCTAACATTAATATTTATTGGAAAAAAAATCTTCCTCCACATTTAAGAATGAATCTCTTCTTATGGACTCAAACAAGTTTTGCTGAAAAACTGAATATGGAACAAGCAAAGCTTAATACTAAACAATATATATATTAGCTGTATAATACCAGTAGGCCAGCTCTAATAATAATTTGGTATGGCTTCGCGGGCCAAATGTAATTAGGCTGCGGGCCAAATTTGGCCCGCGGGCCAGAGTTTGACACCTATGATGTAGACAGCAAAAATAACTCATGCAGTAGATGCACATACATCCATTGCATGCCTTTTTATTTTCATGCTTGCAAGATTTACTGCTACACATTTGTCTAAACAACAACTGAAAGCCTATGGTTAACTACTAAAAGTTCATATTTGCAATTTTTCCATAGATTTACAGGAGACTATCAATGGGCTACACTGGCACTGAAACACTGAAAGATAACATAATCTTAACTTTGATTATTACCGTCCTCAGTTTACAGTAAATGGAAATAAAGAACTGTTCAACTGAGTAGAAGCGTGCTATGTAAGCACCAGTCGACTCCAATAAGCATGGAGTTTAGGTCACAGTGAATTAGGAAGCTGAGGAGAAGATGGGACATATATGAAGTGTTTAGAGCACTTTGACATCCCGCATAAATCCATAGCTAAGGCTGTTCTTTGTCTGCTCAAATAATACTAATAACTCTAACATTAATCCAGAACAACAATAATGGTCTAATGATGTTCTTTGGAAGGTTGCATGTATGATTCACATGCGAATACATGACTCTTTCATGAGAAAGACATGCCAGGCCAAACGCTCAGTGGGGTTTAACTAACGTGATTTCCCCCGGAGTTAAAGAAAACACAGTCCAGAGATCCATTAGAAGCAACGAGCACAACTCTCTCATCTCAGCTCTATTTACTCACCTCTCTCCCTGTGGCTATTTATCTCTCCCATACCCCTTACTCACCCTGCTTCCCCTTCCATGTACAGCTCAGCCAGCCAGATGGATCCAAGATCTTCCTGTCCCCTCTCATATGATATTTCCTCAACATCATCCTCTCTCAGCCACTCTGGGATGGCTCCATGTTTAAGATAGGATTTGCCTTTTTTAAGTGATTTGAAGCCAGGATCATCCATGGTTTTCTTAACAATACAAACATAGTCCTCAGCTTTGTTGGTTTTAATTTTGGCTGCAGGGGCAGAATCAGCCAGTCTGGTCAATACTTCAGCATTAGATATTACAGTGTTTGCTAGTTTAGGATCAGAACTGAATCCTGATTCCTCATTATTACCTTGTGACCTCTCATCATATGCAATATCCTCTAATTCTACCTCCCTCAGTGGCGGACAGTTGTTTTGTTGGCTGCTATCCACTTTCTGGTTGACTTTTTCTAAAGCAAGAACAGGAAGGGCTTCTGTCCTCCACTGTGGGGTTTCTCCATGGTTGTCCTCCTTTCCTTTTCCTTTCTTCTCTTTTTTCTTTACTTCCTCATTGACATCCTTTCTCTGTTGCTTTGTTTCGGGCTCTGTCTCCCTTTTCTCTTTATGCTCGTTCCCTTCCCTTGTTTCTTCCACTCCATTCCTTTCTTCCTTTCCCTCTTTCATCCCTTCTCTCTCACTCATCCTCATCTCCTTTCTCCCTTTTCCCAACCTCTTTCTTGCCTCTTCTTTTTCCCTCTCCAACCTGTGTTTCTCTTTCGTTGCTTCCTCTTCCAGCTCCTTCCTGTCTCTCTCTTCCTTCTCTGCCCTCTTGATGTTTTCCACCTTTTCTCTCTCCTCTCTCTCCCTGTTCCCTTCTCTTTCGTTCTCCTGTTCACTAGCAGCTCTTCTCAGAATTGCCACCAGATTGTGTGCCTCGTTTAAAGATGAGCACTCTTTTTTCTGAGTCTCAGAAACTTTTTCTTCTGCAGTCGCCTGACTCTCTGCTGTGTCAGAGAAGTCTGTGGGTGGCAAAATGTCCACATCAATGGGAATCGGTGGATCATTATCCGCCTCAGAGGAACACAAGATCTCCGGATCTACTTCATGTAAACATGGCTGGAGTTCATTATTTATAAGGTGGCATGGCTGTTTGATAGAGGGTTGCGGTTGACCTGCAAGAGTCGATCCTGATGTGTTCAGGATGGAGGCCACTGTCTCGTAGCTAAAGGGCAGATACGAACAACAGGAAAACTGTGAGACAGAGCTCACCCGAAAATGACCTGCTTCATGAGCTCTGAACACTGTGACAGAGGGTCAGACAACATGCTTGATTAAAAATAGTTCCTTCTCAGACTTTGTTTTGGTGCTTTTCCAAAATGCCGTGCAAAAGCACCCAAAAGAAACACTGTTTGCTACAGCGAGAGCAACTCTGCACAGCATACCGATTTTTCTCTTTGACGGGATTAGGAACAAGTGAAATACTTTCTGGTGGCACAGAGCTGAGAGCTCAGATCGGCTCACAGACAAGCCAGCAGCTACATATGCAAGATGAATCCTCAAAGAGCCACTCAATACTTAAAAACCACATTGGCAAAGCCAGCCCACCACATAATCAAAACAATCACAAAGATCCACTGGACGGTGCATTCTCCAGCGATGGATGCTTTTATATGCAGCCAGTTTAAATGCCACAAAAGCAGTTAATAAACATCAAAATGTTTCAGTACTTCACTGAAGGTTGCCACGCAGCAACTTTTGTAGAGATGAGGTAATAATGCATTAACGTGTAGGCTCTTACATAATGAGGTTAATGTATTAAATGTTTTACTTACACTACCACCCTTAATTTCTTTACATTTTGCATCCAAGGAGCTAGAATTTTATTTTTTTTGTGTGTGTAATTTTTAAAATCATGATGAGCAATAGTTAATAGTTAGTTTTTTTAACATATCACAACACTGACCAATGAATCACTGCAGCCTAAATAAGGATCCTAACTCAAGGGATGAACCAGTGTTAGTGTCTACCTCTCTGCACTGAATTATACTTGTTATTAATCTCTGGCTCTCTTCCACAGCATGTCTTTTGTCCTGTCTTCCCTCACTCATCCCAGCCAGTCATGGCAGATGGTCGTCCCTCCCTGAGCCTGGTACTGCCAGAGGTTTCTTTCTGTTAAAAGGGAGTTTTTCCTTTCCTCTGTTCCAAAGTGCTTGCTCATAGGGGGTCATATGATTGTTGGGTTTTTCTCTGTATGTATTATTGTAGAGTCTACCTTACAATATAAAGCGCCTTGAGGCAACAGTTGTTGTGATTTGGCGCTGTATAAATAAAATTGAATTGAATTAGACAACTTAAGAAAGAACCAATTTTAAATGGTATCTTTAGGGGCTTCGTTAATGGCAACCCGTTGCAATAAAAGCATATCTGGATAGAAAAACACACAGTAGAAGTCCACACAGTAGCACACACACACGGACACACACAGACACACAGAGAGACTCACCCTCTGTATAACACCCCAACTACTGCTGACATGAAACCAGCAGGCGCCTCCCTCTGCTGCTCTGCAACACAGACATCTTCCTCTGTGTGCGCACATTTCTCAGCACTACCAGACACACACACACACACACACACACACACACACACACACACACACACACACACACACAGGTCCATTATATACTTGTGTAAAGCTCTCATCAAACCGCTCAATTTGAAATACCACTGCAGCACAGACAGAGGTCAATATAAAGAAAACAGCTTCAGGTGAGGTTAGTTGCAGTTGCGGAGTAAGCACTTGATAGGCTGCAGCCCCCAGAGGAACGTTAGCCATTAAAATGCGCATGTGGTGTCACGCCATGCAGCAAACACTGCAAGCAACCATCGCTGACTCACCCCCCTATTACACCTTCCTCCTCTTTCAGCTTCTCCTCCTTCGCTTCCTTGCTTTCACTACTTTCCATCCCTTTTTCCACTCCTATCTCGGTGGTGGTCTCCTCCACAGCTGCCCACAGCTGTTTTTCTGCCTCGCACACTGGGTCCTTATTGTTGATGAAATGCTCGTGACCGCCAGGCACGGCATCGGCTGGTTTCTCCTCATCTGCTCCCTCCTGTTGTGGTTTTCCTGATGGATGAAGAACTTGTTCCGGCCGCAGTTCTGGTTCTGGTTTTGGTTTTGAGGGCTGAAGTGGCTCCAACGCCATAGTCACGCGCTCTCCAGCTTCTTGGGGGGGAACCTCGACTGAGGGTGCTGATTCCACCCTGGGTCCCTCTGGCTCTTTAGGCTCCTTTTTAACTGCCGGTGCGCTGGGCTGAGCAGATGGTGCGGCAATATGATGTTCATCTCCATCTTTTGCTTTAACTGGTTGGCTCTCTTGCCTAACAGGCGTGTGCACCTCAGCAGCATCCTCTCCATGTGAGCTAGAAGAGAGGGAAAACCACATGAAGGATATATCCACTAATTGGCATTTTGTACAAACATCGTTAAGAAACCAAACAATTAGCGAGGCATGCGAAGCACAAACAAGAGGATTAAGCAGAGACGCAGACAAAGATGTGCCCCCTAGTCTGTTCTTACCCTCTGCACAAAGGTTTTGTACCCTCCTCGGCAGAGGTTTTTTCAG